TACACCAAGCTCAGCGAGCTCATCGACGCGGCCAGCCAGCTCTACAACGACCTCTACGAAGAAGACCGCCGGCATAAGAATAGTACTGGCTCTAGCTCCCAGAGCGCGGACTACGGCGAGGCCATGGACATAGACGCGCTGCGCCAAGGCTCGAAGAAGAACCGCTTCGACTTCCTCAAGTGGATGAAGGGTCGGTGCTTCGGCTGTGGGTCCGAAGACCATAACAAGTCTAACTGCACCCGGGTCCGGAGTGGCGCGGCCTGTGGGTACTGCGGACGGATCGGGCACTTCCAGGACGTCTGCCAAGACAAGTACCTCGGCCTTGATCGGGGACGTGGGCTACGCTCCAACCCGGGTCGATCAGGCAACGACTCGGACCGGAATATCCGTAGTGCGTCTCAGGAGGAGGACAAAGCCGAGCAGCTGGCTGCCAAGCTCGACAAGATCCAGCTGCAACTCAAGGAGCTCAACGCGGCCAAGGCGGAGGTAGAAGAGGGGTTGAAGGATTTTCTGTAAAGCCCGAGGATGAGCATGCGTCTGACCCTGTTCCGGATTCTGAAACGGACTCTGACTCGGAAAATGTACGATTATTAGCTAGCGCTGTGAGAAACGGACTAGACTTGAATATGTTCGCGGCTGCCAAACCCATGTTTTCCTTTTTCCCAGAAAAAATAGATAAACCCACGACAGTAGATTACGACGTTTCGGACTTTGCGATCAATGGTTGTACTGTACGTAGTCTACCTGGTCTATCGCATTTCAAAGTTTCGGTTATTCTTAAAGGGTCAGACGGCAAGGCTTTGAGGGCAGAAGCCATGATTGATAGCGGGGCCGACGGCGTCTTCATGGACCGAAGATGGGCCGAAGGGCACGGGATAGAGTTAGGAAAGTTGGGAAGTGTAATCAGAGTCAAGAACATCGACGGCACGTTCAATAGGGACGGGGCGATCAGTCACTACGCGGAGTTGAAGCTGCAAGCAGGCGCTCACTCTGAGAACCTTAGATTCCTTATCACGGATCTAGGTTCCGATCGCATCATCCTGGGACTGCCATGGCTCAGAAAGCACAACCCGGGTATAGATTGGGAAGCGGGGGAGGTCCACCTCGGAAAGGAGGAGGGTGTCGAGTCG